ACCTCGATTATCCGCCCCAATTGGGGACTGGGGTTGGTCGGATAATTGAAAAGTCGGATAACCGAAAAGTATGAAAAAATCCATTATTAGTGTAGTATATTATTATATCCCATGTAATTAGTATATTAGTATATCGCTATTAACCTACTTCGCGTTGAATTTTCATCCATGTTAAGCCTAACGAATTTTTTTAAAATAATAATCGTCACTATTGTATCATTAAAAATAAGAAAATTAAGCCTCGTTTAAATACTGGCTCCCTTTCATGGTCGAATGAGTGTTGCCAGCTAAAACACGTAAAAATAATAATAAACTAGCCAAGACATAGCCAAATATTGTAGCGCCACATCACTAGCGGACATTTGATATTTGCCGACTAGGGCGGTCGGTTAACCGAGGTGTAGGTTAATCGGGGGTCGGATAATCGAGGCTCTACTGTAATAATACATTTTTAAATAATGGAAAAATTTGTAATAATAAATGATATATTTGATCTTTAATAAAAGGAATAAAATTACTTCTAATTGAAATTAATCGCATTCCAAGTGAACAATAGATGATTTCATTTTTATTAATAATTTTAATTCCTCATATTTTCTATGTAGATCTAATTATTTTTCGAAATTATAACATTTTTCTTTTTTGTTAGGTATTTTGCAAATAATGCAGTCGTATATTGATGTAAATGTCAATTGTTGCAACGAACTAAACTTTATACAAGATTTCAAAAAAAAAACTGATATTTTTTTCTTCTTTTCAAATCTTTAAATGTATAGTTTGAAGTTTTAAACTTGAAGAAAGCAGATTTAATGTCAGATTCTTAAAATATAAATAAAGTAGAAAAGCATTATTATGAGATGTTAAACTAAAAAAATAATGCAAATGAGATTTTTTAGCATAAGATCTTGATTTAGGCAAGTATTCAGAAAATAGATCGTTATATTAGTCAAGAATGTTGTAATAACGTTTATGATTCTAGGTTATTATTTAATCAATATGTACTTTAAATAATATAAATATTTTTGAATTTATTATTTTCCCTTCATTTTACAGATTCAGAAATTTATATCATTTAGAAACGATTTATTGAATAATCTAAAATTAATGTTCAAACCGAAGATGATTTAAGCGCTACAAAGCGTAAAGAGACATTTTTGCCTGAGGATTTCCATTAATAAGATATGCGTCCTGAATAATGAAAATGTTATGATGTCATATATAGTAAATGTGATATCATAATTGCTTTATTTTACTGTTCCACTAGTAACAGTATAAATAAGACGATTATCTTTGATAATCATTATGCTTATAATGCTTGACTAATCGAAAATTAACAAACGCCATTCCGTAATTTAATTTTTATATCTATTTAAAATTATAACAGATTTATTCAAGAATTTTTAACAATCTCTCTACATTTTTTATATTTATTTTTTTTAATGTTGAACCGTCATATTTGTACCATTGTTTTTAGAACACTTTATGCATTTTGATAAAATATAAAGTTTTTACAGTATTTTTAAAAATAGCCCTATTTTATATAACCTATATTTCCTAAAATCATTGTAATGGAGAAAAATATTTATTTTTATAATGATTAAAATTAAGTAAAAATATTTTTAAACGTTTCCTTTATAAAAAATAGTGTATTACCACACAAAAAACAACTTTTAAATATATGTTGTAATTCGGCATATTTTAATTATATAACATTTTCATGTAACATATTCTAATTTTAGTTTATAATAATATATAACAAAATATTTTGCTTGAAAAGCTTTCTTTAATTTTAATTAATACTGTATTTTATATTATAATAAATTGCCTTTACTTATTTCTAAGAACCTAACTATTTTTAATTAAGAATTTTCGAGATGTTTCTTATTGTTTCTCGCCTTAAATTTTACAACTTTTATTTTGAGTTTTTTCCCTCTAAATTACTTAAAATTGACTTATTTTTAACGTATTAATAAAATTTACAAGTTTTATTTATTGTGCAAATTACTTTCCATATATAATTAAACATATTTAATACTTCTAAAGTATTAAATGTGTTTAATTACGTTATGTACTTCCGAAGTACATAATTTAACGTAATTTACTAAAAAAATGACGACATTTATTAAAAATATATTAATTCCTCCATTCATCTCTAGATTCAAACAATGAAATGACAGAAAAGATCGTAGAAATGCGAAATTTCCACGAATTAACATTCTAAAAGTATTTGCATATACGTTCCTTATGACACACTAGACTATATATTATAAAGTTGCATCTGTAATTTTTCTATATAAAAGTTTGATTGAATTAATTATGTTCGATACGTCACGCTAAGCTCATTAATTCCTATAATAATAATCTCATAACAATAGTTATTCACATAAAACCACAGCTTCAGTCAAATAATGTTAAAATGAAACTAGATGCAAAGCTTACATCTGACCCAAAACAAGCTTTCCTGATTAAATATCATAAATTGATATTCTGCTACTATTGAATATCACTATCAGTTGGCTGGTGGTAATAAAGACAAAATTGAAATTAAACACGCATTCTTTTAATCGATCCAGCGTCATATACTGATTTAGTCATTAATATATTCAAATGCAAATACAGTTCACTAGTAAAGTTTAATAACCTGACTCCTTAAATGTTTCCAATTTAAAATTGTGAAATAATTAAAACAAAAGCCTTCAGCTGTAATTACAGTATTTATAATCAACAAAACGTTTCAAGTTATCTTAAATTATCATTATTATTATTATATTTTAAAGTTGTAAATTTCAAGTATGTAAAACATTTTTAATTATACTATTTTAATTTTTTAAATCGATTTTGTGATTAAATCATTTTTTAAAATCTCTTTCGTTACTAAATTTTCATAAGTTGAATAAAATTTACAAATTAAAATCAAAAGAGAGATTCAACTGTAAAGGAAGAATAGCATATTCAGCAATTTATGCAATAGACTAATCATTTTGGAGAGGGTCGAGAAAAGCATAGAAAATCAAAAATGAAATATTTTAATAGGATCAAGAGGAAAGCGACTATTCAATAAAGCATTTACTTTGGAAAGCAAATTCTTGTAAAACCATAGTATTGATTATCAACTTTTGCTTTAAGAAGTAGAAGGACTTAACAAAAGCAGTTTCTAAATGTTAGAAAACATATTTTATACATTTGAAGTAAATGACTAGATTAATGGTTAAAGTTACCAAAATTTACTTACGAAACGTCGATATTGTTCAGTATTAATTGAGAAAATCTGTTCTTATTCAAACGTTTCGTTAAATGTAGCTATCATAAATCATTGTTTATCTATTTATTTGATAAACTATACTTGAAACATGTAAATTAAGTAGATTAAATCCCGTTCAAATAATGTTTTAACTCAGAACATCTTTTTTAATTAATTTTTTGTTATTAATTATTGTTAATTGTTATTAAATCCGTCGCTAATGAAACATGTAATTTATAAACTGTAGTACTATAAACATTGAAAAATATTATATTTCTATAAAATCAAAATTATAAATCAATTGTATCTACATTAAATAGTATATACTAATAACAGAAATCAAGATTTAAATGAAATAGAAATCTATAAATATAAGAAACGATAGATTTTTAAAATTTGTATGAATCAATTAAATACACTGCTAAATATTTACTTGTATAAATTTTGTTGCGATGAATTATAAAATGCTTAGTAATAACTTACAATGAACGATTCAATATAGCTAGGTGTATAGGTATAGTTTGCAATAGAATTCAATGGACAGACGACAATTGGAATGGAAGTATATTACGGAAAAAACTAATTAATACAAAATACTAGTTAAAATTAGTAACGACGTGAAAGAGAAATGCATGAAAAATATAGACTTACTAAGGAAATAAGAATATTCAAGGACGCGTTGAAAGACACGTTAATGGGGAAAAGAAGACGTGGTGAAAAAAAGATGTCAAATGACTTAAAATGAGGTCAAAAATAAGAATTGGAGAAACACTCAGTTGTTAAAGAGAAAGGGAAAGAAATAACGTTTTAGAATTCAGAAAAGAAAAACAAGAAAGAACTATCATACAAGCGAAATATCGATGAGGATGATGATGAGTGTAAGTCATCTGACTATCTAAACGCAGTTTAAGATGGAGTAGAATTATAAGGACAAGATAAAAATTTCATGCGAATTTCAATTAATGACTAAGTTTATGTGTATAAATATTTTTTCTGGGAAAAGTTAAGAAAAGAGTTAAAACTGTAGCTAGAATTTATTGAAATAAATAAATAATAAGATATATATAATTATTCTATATACATTCACTAATTCAATGATATTGTGTATCGTGGATAATTAATTAATATCATGATAGAAATTGATAACCACTATAATATCTAAAAACTACAATATCTTACTTGATATTTGTAAGAATATTTAATTTAGGCATATACTAATTTAGAAGGAATAATGTTTAGAAGCGTTTAACGTTTATTAAATTAATTTAAATCGTTTTATAAATTACTAATACTAAATAGATTAATGTAACTTATAACTATAAATCATTCTAATCTACTTGATATAACGAGTACTTAGATCGGTTAATCGTCAACGGTATATAGTGGAATGAGAACTGTCCAAATAACGATAACTGTGACGAATCCGTATACGTCAATAGGAAGTGTCATATTTGTCATCTTATCCCGGGCCTGGAGTAAGTGGATAAATTCTTATTTCTTTCTGTTTTCGTCGTTTTTCTCCATCGTGTAACTTAGCGGGAAAAATGATATCGCGATGAAGTGAGGCGAAAAACTTCTGCGGATAACAATCTAATTGTTCCTTATATATGTATAGAAAAATGTTCCCATATTTTAACTTTACTAATATTTACATTTATAACTAAACTCAATATCTAATGTAAAAAGATATCATTCATATATTCAATACTTGACATTTATATTTGTCTTAAATTATATGGATATATTATTTAACGCGGCCATATTTGCATCCATTACTGGTTCTCGACGGGTGAGAATTGGGAAACGACACGGGTTAATCTAAGAAACAGAATTAAGAATAATTAAGTCAAGCCTTCGAGTAAGAGTTTTTGTTTGAAAAAGTACTTTATATAATTTTAAACAATAAATCCATACATATACTGTATATAATTTTTTTATTCTCCAATCTGTGGGCACTATGCGGGTCTTTTTTCGTACCTTTGCGGGTTTGGCCAGACCTACAATGTCGACGGCCGGATGGCAAGGAAGGGGGCCTTATATATTCGGGAGGGACCGCTCGTGAAGAATTTCTGGCGTTTTTCTCGGCCGCTCCGATTCGACCCCGTGTTTCCAAAGTAGTAGGACGATACCTTAAACTTGTCGGCCATCCAGCCGTCAAATTTTTACTATTTATAAAATTATTTCAGTCTCGCGATATTAAAAGGCTGTTATTTGCGTCTATCAAAGAGTCGGTCGGGCTCACGACGATAGAGAATGGTCCGAATTACCTAGGTCAAAATCATCCACGAAAATTTCCAGAATCCGAACCGGATTTCCCAGAGCTGTCTTTTTACAGCTTCGACCAACTAAAATATTTATTTTCCATTAAAGCAATACAGTATAGAAATACGCTTATGATTGTTTTAACTTTTAACGACTTTGTAAAATGAAAAGCAATATGTTCATTACAAATTCGTTCATTCTGGAGAAATTTAATTCACCGAATTTAAAAACCGTTTTTTATTGATTGACGATAATTTATTAATTATAAACTTGATAGCGTCTCTAGTTTATATGAAAACAATGTACAAGATCTATCGACGACGTCGTTCTCACTGAACTTTGATGCGCTACGTTTACAATACTGAAAATTAAGTTTTTGAATTTCAGCTTTACATTTTTATGCAACTCTTTCTCTTCCATTTTGAATCTCGGCTTTACGCTTCTATTTTAGTTATTAGCGCGATGTATTAATCGAGAATCAACTACATTTACGTGACTAAATACGATATTTTATATTAAACAAGTTCTATTAACAGACCAAATTATTTTAATTACCGCGAAACATTTTCGTTAACAAAAGTTGTATTATTATTTTTCTTACATTTCTATTTTACTTCATTGTCTTTAGAACAAACTGTCAAAAATTAGCCCCAAATACAAATATACTAATAAAAAATATATACATTTTCAATCGCTCTTAAGTAACTAAATATTTAGCTGCTTAAATGCGGTTGAAAAGCTATATACTGTATATATCTTTTCAACCATATAACTTTTTCAACCATCATACAGTCAAATATATAATTACATTACATATTTGACTGTGTGTGTATATATATAGGCCTATATATTTATATATACATACATACATACATACAGTCAAATATGTAACGTAATTATAAGTCGTAAAATTTAATATATTGTCCCTGATGTCAGATTGTATTCTTTGTTTTGAAGCTTATTTTAAACTTTTTTACATTATATTTCGTTTGAATGAAATCAAGTCGAATTGTCTCCAGATCGGGCATATTATGTAAAGGATATCACTATACAAACAGTAGAAAATACTCGTACCGTATATGGGGAAGATGCTTCTAAACTCCGAATGTCAAATGTGGTTTTGAAAGTTTCGTTCGGGAAATTTTGAACTAAATGATACAAAACGTACGGGGCGCTCAAAAGCTGTTGACGAAGAGAAATTTTGAGAAAAAAATGTTAAAGATTGACGAATAACCAGGGCTGTAGAGTCGGAGTCCCGATTCCGACTCCATTTTACACCTTCACAACTTGTTATGTATATAAATATGATTTAAGAGCTTCCGAGAATGTTGACTTAATAGAAGCGATTCTTTTTGGAAGGAGTAATTCAGTTTATAACAGAGATGAAAAATAATAAATTAATCAACATGGCAAAATAAGCAACCTTTTTCTTTACCAGTCTAAATGTTACATTAAACTAAGTCAAGAATAAGAAATATATCTGTGTATACTTATATACTACCCAATATACTCGTATATTATGTACAGTACAATACATTCGTACACAAACAAATTAGTTTAATAAAAAAACTAATTTGTTTGTGTAGGAATGTATTTACTATTTTTATTCATACACGCTTACCAATTACCATTGCCATCATCAAACAAATCAATAAATGTGAATTTACATATTAAGTATCAATAGATATGTCAAATTTTAATGTTTAATTAATTTTTAAAATAGTTTTATTTTGCATTTTTAAAAAAGTAATCAGAATCGTCGTCGTTATTACTTTCCCGGCTGTTATACAGTATAGGCCCACAACAAGGGAAAAGAATGACTTTCCCAGATTTTTATTCTTTTGGACTCGGAAGCCTCGAAACGTAGTGAAGTGCAAAAGCATTCGGGTTTTTTCTGTACTCGCGGATGTTAGATTGTGTACCAAACGATTTAGTTCAACCATTTTGAAGCTTAACTCCTGTGTTAAACCATCCGGCTCCGATTCAAAATCGTGCCCCCCCCACAAAGTCTGACATCCGTACATACAGAAAAAAAAACCTGAATCTTTTGCATATCTCGACATTTCGAGGTGTCCCAAGTCCAAAAATGTGAAAGTTTGGGGAAGTCATTTTATGACCGATGGCTACACTTTTCCTGTGTTATATAGGCTATATCAGCCGAAAAAGTAAAAATTATCGAATACATATTTATATATTGACTATGTCATTATTTAGAGGAGGAGTCTTTTAACTTAGAACGTAGAAACTTTTTTATTCCAATCTTTATTAGAACTCTACTTATTGAATGAAATAAAATTTGCCAGGACATATATGATATTTATAGAAAACGTTTTCTTATGACTATACGTAGATGAGTCGAAATTCATTTATTGTCCTTCACACGCCGTGTGAAGGACAATAAATAAATTTCGACTCATCTATGTATGTATAGTCATAAGAAAATATGTTTTCTATAAATATCCATTTATTGAAGCTTTTATTCTGAGGTAGCGTGATGACGTCAGAATTTTCGGGCCTATTTTGTTAACAAGTTCGCCGCCCCGAGTCGGAGTCGTGTAAATATTTACCGACTCTACAGCTCTGCGAATAACAATTCGTAAATTTGCAAAAAATCTTAGTGTGTCAAAGACACGTATTGTTGAAACAGTTCATCCTCTTGAAATGGCTGTAAAACATTATGATTTTGTTCCGCACGCTGTTTTTTTCCACTTATGAATAAAACGAACTGAATTGAGTATAATTTTGTCTGGCGAAGGTTGGCAGCTATAAAGTCTTATTTTTGAATTGGTTACTAATTTTTATTTAAGAGAACTTTTTACGAATGAATGGAAAAATTAATATTAAAATAAAACATTTATTATTAACCGAAAATTTGTTCTAGCGGATGGTGACTGTTAGGTCGAGTACCGAGGTATCACAGTTTGATTAACGCGAATTTGATATACGCGGTAATATCGAGAAATTTGTTAATCGCATTAAGGGATACATATAGTAGGTAACCTATATATAGCGGAAAACTGTCTACTACGGAAGAGTTATCCGGTCCCTTAGGATTCTGTTATAGACAGGTTTTTGTTTTGTCACTATTGCACTCACTTTTTACTCACTGATTCTGTATTTCAACTCGCCTTTCTCGGAGGGAAAATGGCACTCTGAGGCCTGTATATATAATAAGTAAATAAATAAATAAATATATATATATATATATAAAGGTCAATCACATGTTCAACAGGAATCGCGTATACTGTAGTACACAGAACTATATTTTAGGATTGATGCACAGTTGACATGAATGTTATACACATAATTTAAGAAAATTATCTTTCTCACTAATCTGACTCAGATTTTGTACATTGTACAACTGAATGGAACCAAAGCAAGTTCCGAGATATAACGTATTTCGTAAGCCTAAAGGAAGCAAGAGATATAAGATTGGGTTTTAAGAATAAAAATATACCAAACAAATGTTTCATTAATTTCATTTTTTTGTATATTTATTCATAGATATTTTTCATTCTTTGACTGAAAATTTTTGCAAGTTTTATCTTTAACTTTTATCCAGTGAGATAAACAATGCCAAAAAAATTTTCTAGGAATTACACGCCACTGTACTAAATTTTATGAATTCTTTTCTTCCTTCATAACATTCCATAAGTTAAAAGGAAAGCTATACTGCATTTAAAAAACTATAAACTGAAGTTTAAACTAAGCTTAATACAAAATAAATAACAACTGTAACTTTGAAATAAATATATTTATTTCAATTTCTCAACAATATAAAGATTATTGAGTAAGTTTAATATACATAAAAGAAGTTTTTCTTCATTTTAATTTGTTTAAAATTTATAAAATTAAAGGACTTAACTTACTTTACATGTATAACATTATTTAAAATTAATTTTTTTACAGCTAACATTCAATAATTATTTTCAACACTGATGGCTTTTATTGTGATAGAGAAATTTTCTGTGAATGTAGAGAAGAACTGGAAATTTTTATTGGACAATATATCTCAACTTGTGGTTTAAGCTATGAAGTTTGCATTATTGTGATTCCATTCAGGTAACTTTATCTTAAAATTGTCTATTGTGCTATTAAATTTACTCATAACATTTATTATTTCACTATAAATGATTATTATAACAACACTGTTATTAACAAGAATCAGTTTTTATAAATACAATAAAATTGAATTAGTAGTACATTGTAACATGATGCTATATAAAATTAACAAATACCTCATACACTTGTTGTAATAATCACAAACTATATGAAGTATACTATTTTTTTTTTGTATTTATAAAAAAATATGTGACTATAATTTGCATTCTCAAGCAGTGAAGTTATTTATACATTATTTTAAAAAATATATTTTTTTTAATTCAGTCTCAAATTTAACAAAATTTCAAATTTGATCACAAAAAGAAATCCTTAAGAATTTTAAAATAAATAATAAATTAGGATTCAATGTCGTAATTGCATCTCATATTCCTTATATAAAAAATGTTTAACAATACTTTCATAATATACAATATGAAAGGCACCAAATCTTCAATTATGTAACAATTTTCATCATTGGAGTTTAGATATTTTGAATGGGCACGTTGACTGTATGGTCAAAAAGAAAGGACCTTTCTGATTAGGCATGTATGTGCAAGGTATAATATTATATGTACCAGCAGGTACAGCATTTAGTTCTAGGATAGTAAAACCAGATCTGTAAATAAAAATTTCAAAATAAGATATATCTATGATGAACATTTTTTTGTTATTGTTATTGCATTTATGTTATGAACATAACATAAATGCAAAATGGTTATCTATTAAAAAATATAATTTTAAATAACTTTCACTATTGGTACATCAGAATATTATAACAGTACATAGTAAATAAAAGTTTACGAATGTCTGCAACTTAAATTACTTATAAAAATGAAAATATTCTGCTATAATATCATTTACCAAATAGTTATTATACATCAGTGCATAGGAATTCAAAAAATCTTAAAATGTAGCTAAAACTAAGTATTATTTAATAATTTGCACTCAGCAATTATGTGGAGAACAGCTAATTCAGTTTCTCAATCTAAACAATCATGCAAAAAATAGAGTTTTCTTTCATTTGCCTAAATTAACAAACATTTAAATCAATAGTCTGTGCTGAAAATGAAAATTCATAATTTTACACAATTCTGTGATTCTTAGCATTTTTGAAAGTAAACTTACTCTAAATCAGTTCAAAAAGATAAATGTTTAGAAACTTTCAAAAAGGCAGAAAGATGACCACATCATTTACGATCCAACCAGGGACACATTTCAAAATTATGAAAATGGGGTCTGAAACTGATTGAACTTTGTTTATTTTTTAAATTTATTTATTAATTGGTGTGTTAATAAAATTGCTCTATTCAAAGATTAATTTTATAATCAAATATTGAAAACAGGCAAAATCAGGGATATATGGTCACCTTATCTAAGGGTATGTCTACACATTCAGAACAAACATATGATGAATACTGAGTAGTGTGCACAGTCTACTCATGACAAATGTTTGGTATTTGCTATTTCCCAATTCTTATGCCAAATAAAAGATGAGTGTTCACCTCTATGCATTCCTATTGCATTCATGTATTTTGTTATTTTAGTCTTTTTTAAGCTAGATTTAGTCTTATTTTTGAATTTAGTTTATAGTTATTGGGACCTTGAATAAGTTCTCGCTGTTTTCCAACAGATAGCATTACCAGAACTGTGCGCATGTAGTTTAAGATGGTGGCACATCTGTAACGAAGTAACATAAGCAAGCTTGAAATTCAGTGTATGTCATTTTGCCAAAGTGTAAACAACTTTTTATTTTCATAGTGTTAAACATGTCAAGAGTTTTGAGCCAAAAAAAGAGTATTTGCAGGAAATTTTATTGCACTATTTTATTCAAAAAAAATCTACAGCTGAAGCACACAGAATTCTTGTTGAGACTTACGGCGACCGTGCTCTGTCGGAAACAACATGCAGAGATTGATTTAGACACTTCAAAAATAATGATTTTGATGTTGAAGATAAAGAACGCTCTGGTGCACCGAAAAGGTTTGAAGATGAAGAATTGGAGGCATAACTTCATGAAGATGTGATGTCAGATGTCAGCTGAACTTACAGAATCATTAGGAGTTGATCACACAACAGTTTCAAAACGTTTGAAAGTATTAGGAATGATTCAAAAGCAAGGGCATTGGGTGCTGTACGAGTTGAAGCCAAGAGACGTTGAACAGCATCTTTTTACGTGTGAACAGCTGCTTCAACAGCAGAAAAGGAAAGATTTTTTTGCCTTGTATCATAACTGGCGATGAAAAGTGGATACACTACGATAACCCTAAGCGTAGAAGATCACATGCATCAACATTGTCGGCATGGCCTTATATCCATAGTTCAAAACTTCTGCTCTGCATTTGGTGGGATTGATTGGATGTAGTTTATTATGAGCTGCTCAAATCTAACAAAACCATCATGGGAGATCACCATCAACTACAACTGATGCATTTAGTGGCCGTTTTTCCTTCAATGCTTAACTCATATGAGCAGCGACACATCAAAGTAATTTTGCAACATGACAACACTCAGCCACATGTTGCACAACTGGTGAAAACAACTTGGAAACGCTTAAATGGGAAGTCCTACCCCACCCGCTATATTCACCAGACATTGCCCTTTCCAATTATCATTTGTTCCGATCAGTGGCACATGGCTTGGCTGAACAGCACTTCCATTCTTATGAAGATGCCAAAAAATGGTCGGAAAAAAGACGTCATTTTTCCGACATGGAATTCAAATGCTGCCAGAACAATGGGAGAAGTTAGTGGCTAGCGATGGACAATACTTTCAGTGACATGTTTTTTATGAATATTTTTAAAATAAAGCATTAATTTTCATGAAAAAACAGCAAGAACGTATTCAAGATCTCAATAAAACAAATATTTAATTTTTTGTATGTAGTTTTTCTGGTCTTTTTTCCAATATAGTTTTATTGTGTTGTTTTTAAAAAAATTTTCTTTCTTTTTCATGTCCTACATTTTTCTGCTTTGGTTAAGTAATATCATCCACCATCATCATCCTTTTAGGCTATTTTTTCCATCAACAGATATGGACTACTCATAACTATAAAATCAGCAGCACAAATTATTGCTTAAGAATCATCCATTTTTTAGATCTTGGAAAAACATTTGTCGTCCCACAACAAACTGATTCTCAGCAAATAATTGAATGTGTGTGCTAGGAAAGTGAAAAACAATATGGCAAATAGTTTGTTGAAATGCAAATATTCAGCATTTGGTAAATAGCAAATGTGTGGATGCACTCTAAGATATTGCAATTACAACACAAGCACAAAAAAATAATGCTACATGTGTTAAGCTAAAACGTTAGTTTTTTTTCTTTCTTCTAAAAAAACTAAGATTATAATCATTCAAATGGGATCACCAATATCTGTTGGTGGTAATAAGACATATATTTGAGTTTGCAGTTTTTTTAGAAGTTATCAAATACCAAAAAGATTTAATTTGCAAAATAGATTGTGTAAAGTACTAGAAATACTCTATATTTTAGCATTTTTGGTTATACAAGGTCTGTTCAAAAAGTATCGGACCTTTGGTCGGCAAAAATAAATTTATTGACTTTGAGGTACAAAACCCTAATTTCCTTCAAAGTAGTCTCCTTGGTAATGTATACACTTCTCCCAGCGTTTCTGCCATTGCTGGAAACACTGCTGGAACGCATCTTTTGGAATGGTTATCAGCCGGTCCGTCGCATTTCGCACGATGTCTTCTCTCGACTAAATTTGGGTTCCTTTTAGCGGCATTTTCAGCTTGAGAAATAGCCAAAGGTCACACGGAGCCATGTGGAGAGANGTTGCTGTTTGATAACAGCTGTGTAGAACCAAATTTTAAATTTTTTTATTACCCATACTCACTAATATGTATAATATAATTGCTTTTCAACTTGTTAATACTTAAAACTAACCAATTTGTAAATGTCCTCATTTTGTTTGCGCATGAACAATATTTCTCATATTTCATGTGCAAGTCAAAAGAATTTCAATTTATTAATATATTACTATTATAAATCATAAATGCAAATCTCAATATAGTTACATATGACATAATACATCTTAAAATCTAAATACCTGAATGTACCAGAAGAGTTTCTACTAAAATAGCCTGAAGCATTAGTATTATTTACACTCACTGTCACAACATCAAATCCAACTTGATATTGCCTAAAAATATAATGTTTTTACTTCTGTTATAATCAAATTTTGTATACAACTTCAATTAAATAAAAAAAAAATCTTACTTTGGTCCTTTCAAATCAATCAATAATTGATTTTCATCATTATTTGACTGAAGAGAAACTTGATAGATAGGATTTCTGTGATAACTGTTGGGATGATTGCCACAACCTCCTGCAGTCTCACTCGTCCATTCACCATTTTTTATCTGCAAACATTCCACTTTTTAAATCCTAGTTTTAATTTATTAAACACAATAATTATTTTATTCTTACCTCTTGTTTATATTTAAAATAATTATTTATTTTATTTAAGGTGAAAGGACAGGTTGCATAAACCCTTAAAGTATAATAGATTGTATTTGATTTCTCATATTGAGAAATAATAAGAGTATACTTGGAATCACCATTTTGAGGAATTACCAATTTACATAAATAATGTGGACTATTTATTCTGATACCTTCAATAAAAGGAGGAGGATCATCTGCAAAAAAGAAAATAAGGATAAGATATTTGTTATTAAAATATGATATTTAAAGTATTTTGCTAAATATCAAACATGTTTGTTATTTATTTAACAAAGTTTAACAGATTGAAAAGACCAAATGCTCTACGTGAAATAAATTAAACATGATGTCTCAGCTTCCAAAATTCATTAGATTCCAAGTTTGAACATCATCATAAATTTATCAACAATAAATAACTTATTCAGTAGGAAATGAATGTCAAACTATTTTTATATTTTTGAAAAAATAAAAATGAAGTCTAAATCTATCAAACATACAATTACTTTTCATTCACTCTCAAATTCTAGAACTATACCATAATACACTGACACTTTCTTTTTGGGCTACTTAGCCATCTAAAAGTGGCAAAAATTCCCTTTAAAGTGATTTATTTTCATATTTTAAACATTTTTTTCTTAAGTGAAAATTGTGGGGAAATATGTTTCTATGATGTGAGGATAAAAAAATTACCTTATTACTTCAAATTTAAGCTGCACTTTTTATTCCAATTCTTAAGACGTAAAATTAGGGTGCAGCTTAAATTCAAAGCAAATAAATATCTTACATTCTTATTTCTGTTGGTCTCTCACTCCCCAATAATAAGATCTTTTCTTTATGCACTATGCATGTGCATAGTATTACTATCATTGACAGCAGTTTATTCAGTGGTTTCCTGTTCACACTTTTCTGATTTAATCCAGTTGCTGTTTGGTAGCAGCTGTGAAAAATCAAATTTTAAATTTTTTTATTACCCATACTCACTAATAATGATTTACAATAAAAAATGGTTTACATGTGATACTGAATTCAAAAGAAGTTATATTGTCACAGAAGAAATTGAAATCATGCAGCCAGTAAAAGATTTATGGTTGTCAAAAAGAATTCCTTCATGGCTCTCTAATAATGCACAAAGTTATTTCAGTGTAAAAAAGACAGAAAATCATTCTCGGGGTCTAAAGAAGGAAGATATCCTGCAATTGACACAAATCATATATATAAAATCTTTTTTTTTTCCAATTTTAAACTCCTAATGTGGCTTAAATTTGAGAGCAGCTTATGTTCAAAGTAATAGAGTATATGTCCATTTCTCTCCTTGACTGTTTTAAAAGTTACTTTTAAATGTTCCATGTTTTAAAGGAAATTTCTTTGCCATTGTTAGATGGCCAAGTAGCCTAAAAAGAAAAATCAGTACCATCATGATGGCACTCCAGAATATGAAAGTGATATGAAGTAAGTCTAAAATATTCCTTTTGTTAGTTTTAATTTTTATTTATTAATTTCTGTTATGATCTAAAATAAAATCTAGAAGAGAGTATCAGTCTCGGGAAAAAAAATCTCATGTCTATGTAGTTTTAATGATGAAAACTTTCTAAAAATTTTAAATTAGTAATAATAAAATAAATGATTACATTAAAGACATTGAAATATTCTTTGTAATCTCTTTCCATAGTTTGAACAACATTTATTCATTCTTGTTACTATTCAATTTTACAACTCATTGGAAGACATTTGGAAATAAATTATCAAATCTCAGTAGTTCAATTACTTAATTATTTCTGTTCATAGTACTATAGTCTATTTATCCTAACTTGGCAGCTACTGTAAACAAAGGTTCTGTCGTATTAATCCGCCGAAGATTTTCATTGGTCAAATCACAATCGGAAGTGGCTCGACACGTGTTGACCAGTTAAGCCCCTTTCTCTGCACGTGTTAAAGTAGGTCAAAGTTGTCACAACAATTTAAAAATTACCGAGATAATACAATACTTAGAAAAGTTATTATAGCTTACTTTAACATTTTTACGTAGCCGTTTAAATTATTTCCATCGTTTAAATATAGTTTGTCAAAAATTATTATTAAATATATATTATTAAGACTTACAGAAAACATGTATGAATTTATCTATGTTATATTTATATAAATAAAAATTTTTTAAAATAATTATAGTGTAAACTTACCTTATTAATCATCTGTATCAGAACATAGTTGCTCAAAGTAATCATTTATATCGCTTTCGTCACTACTTGTGTTAGACTGAATAATCAGTTTTTCTACAACAGTTTCTGAAATCTCATCAAGTTCCCACATTCGTTGTTCTTCTTTTTCTATATGTTCAATACATTTTCTCCATCGTTCTTCATTTATTTGTTCGATAGCTTCATTCATTAAAATTCGCACATCCGACAGTTTGAATGTTGTGTTGTGACGTGCGATGTAACCTTTCATATCTGCCCATATCAATTCAATAGGATTTAAATTACAATGATACGGAGGTAAACGTAACACGTCGATACCTATTTCTTTGGCCATTTCGTCAATAATATATTTATCGTATTTATGTTTTATTTTTTTAACAATATCCAAAAGTTCTATTTTCAACATTTTGTCGTTATGACGAACCCTATTTTTTTCCAACCAAGAAATTATGTCAGCTTTTTTCCAACTACAATTTGGAATCTTCTCAATTTTAGCTGAGTGATATGGAGCATTGTCCATGACAACAACAGCATTACTTTCTAATTTTGATAATATTTTTTCAAACCATTTTTTGAAATTATTGCTATCCATTTCTTCATGGTAATCTTTTGTCGACTTTGATTCAAATTCATACAGACCACCATTCAGAAAACCTGTATTGCTGCCTATATGAACAACAACTATTCGTTTCCCCTTTCCAGAAGGATTTTTCAATCCAGTAGATCGTCCAGACATAAAAGCTTCGCGATAAGACGTAATTGAACAATCCTTCCATACTTTATTCTTGGTATGGCCCGCATTAATCCATGTTTCGTCCAAATAGTAAATTTTACGGCCTAAAGAACGCATTTCTCTTATTTTTCGTAGATATTGTCTTCGCCATAAAATGATATCGTCTCTTTCAATTAATCTACTATTTCTGTTTCGGTTCGTATATTTAAAATTAAGTAATTTTAACAAATTATATATCGTAGATCGAGTAAAGTCTGGTAAATCTGGATCGTCATTAACAGCCTGTAATACCTTATCTACAGTAGGTAATTCGTTTAAAAAATAAAAATTGTGTACTTTACCTCTAATGGCACATTTTGTGAATTCGTCATATTTGTCAACGAGTTGAGTACGCTTACGGGTTTTCGAAGGAGTTATTACTTTACCATTAGTAAAATATTCTTTACGAATTCTGTAAATGCTCCGTTCTGATATCCCTGTTGTCTGTGCTACCATTTTCACTAAATCCTTCACGCAGACTTCTGGATTCGTTTCAGTTAAAGAATTAAACAAATTTAATACTATTTGTTTATCCGAGCTCCTCAGCGATTTTCCTTGCCGATGTTTAATCGTATTTACATTCAAGTTTTCCATTTTTGTAATTCAACAACACAATTTGAAATAACGGTAGTTATTGCAATGAATGGAAAAAGAAACAAAAACATTATAGTGCGCATGACCGGAAAAAGTTTATTTCTAATGATTCAGAATGTGCAAATATTTATTAAAATAACAACTTAACAAATATGAAATAATAACATTTATAATCATTGCTAAGTGAATAGCATTTCATTAATGATTTTATAAATAACGAAGAACTATTTTCTGCGGACGAATGAGATGCAATACGATTTTTAATTGGTGGACATGGGTTTAAACCAATAAACAAAGGGAGGTGTGTCTTAGTTTGTTTACAGTAGCTGCCAAGTTAGGATAAATAGACTATAGAGTCATGTTGTTGCTATAGAACAAAATTAAACTTTTCTAAAAGCCTAAAGATTACAAGATAATTACTTTACAGTATTGAAAATATGATTTTTTTGAAAAGGAAAGGCTGATGTCAAACATCTTGGCCAACCACAGGGACCAAATATCAAATCTGGGCAAGTAACCCCAGAAATTTTTCAAGGGAATTCATTTTGGATATTAATTAACACATTGACCAGGACAACATAAATAAATTTATATAATTAATATTTAAAAAATTATTTTCTGTGCCATTATCCTGAAATATTAAAAAATTTTTTTTTTGTTTTGTATATTACAGTGAATGATTAGCCTCTAATAAAAGGTCAACTTTACAGGGAAAAAGACAGTTTTGTTCCTGAGGTGTGTGAAAGGACGTAATGAAGATGTTTATAGTTTCTTCTGTTTTCTAAAATCATTTTGGATATGGAGAACTTGACCTTACTAACTAAACCCATTATGAGCCTGGCCAAATCCATAAGTATGATTAAAAGACCCTCTTATTTTCTATACAGAGTGGAAAGAGTGAAAAAAAAATATATATGTATATTTTATTAATGTGAGATGAGCGATGTAAATGAGAATGAAGTAATTTTACTATGAAATAATCAAAAAAGTTCAGAATTATAAAAAGAATGCAATTAATGATTAATTTCGTTTTTTGTCAAAACATTATAAATATAGGCCTGAAACAACAAACATGAACTTAATTATTATAAAATGATAACATACAAGGGAAATATACTTTTCTTCCATTATTTTTATATACCAATACTGTTATATATTCTTTATTATCAGCAAAATCATCCTATGGAATAAGAAAAAAGTAAATATAAATTAATATAGGATAACTAATTTAAATGATATTGTATTTATTTAATACAATAACTTACTCTATCCGTAATATGACGAGTAAGCAATATCCATACAGCCGAACCAGGTGATTTTACTTCTAATGAATATTGGGGATTGTCAGTAACACTGTATAAATCTTTGGCAGGGCCTGTTCCTGCTTTCCAGGATCTAAATGTATTTAAATTTCACATAAAAATCAAAACTGTCATCTGCAATTAGTATAAATATTTTAGAATCTGGTTACAGATAACAACAACCAATTGATAACATTTATCATTTGGCCTAAAAACATTAGTTACAAATAATTTGCCTATTACAGTATAAACTATGGCTGTTGTCAATTGCGATAATTACACTTGGAGACAAATAATACGAATCCTTAGAAAATTCATACTACTATAAATAGATTTTTCCTTTGAAATTTACATTTAACTGCATACCTTTTATCTTTTGCATACCATATGCATGATAAAAAGAGTACACTTCATGTATTTTCTTAGAATTTATCTTTTAAAAACATATAGTTACAATGATTGGGGATAAACATGTGCACCTGTTGCAATTTCTCTAATTTAATTTTGTGATCTGTTGTGTTAGGAAGACTGTATAAAGTGCTTTATGAAAAAAATCCTTTTGCATTGTTTCTGCTATGATCCAAAGTGTAGAGATTTGGATTTGTCTCTTCAAGAAAAGCAAAGAATTTGAGTGCTACAATAAATTGTCTAAGATGACTCAACATAAAAATTTCACAACTAATCTTGTGCATGATCTAAAAAAACAGATCAAATATAGAAATTCCTTCTCTTTCTAACAAGAACATTGATTGGAAGAGAGAATGATCTAGGAAGGATAGTCAATTTGAGTTAGAATGAGTCAGAATCAACTCATTACATTTTGTTTGGGGATTATTTTTAGTTCATTATAGTTCATGTACCAATCCATTTAGAGACAAATCAGATTAAACACACATGTAAGAAACTGAAGAATAACAGAGTGAAAAGTCCTGGAGGAATGCCGGCAGAACTGATAAAAATGGAACAGAAAAATTATTTAGAATGACAACAAAATTATTCGAAAGGTGTTTTAATGGAGAAGACATTTCAGAAGAAAGATGTCAAAAAGCCAATTTTCCAATCTATAAAAAAGGAGACAAACAAAAATGTGAGAACTATTGAGGAATTACAGTAACAGCAACATTTAGTAGATTATATGGACAAATAATAAGAGCAGAGTGGATTCAGAACAGGAAGATCATGTATGGACAATATTTTTTATATAAAACAGATTATGCAGAAAAGATTAGCAACAGGACAAGTTGTTTGTTGTTTATAGACTTAACAAATGCATAAGATACTGTCCCAACATCAAAAGTATGGGAGACATTAAAAGAGAAATATTAATAATACACTTATTAAAGCAGTTAAAGAATTATATGGAGAATCTGTAACAAAAACAAAAATTGGAAAAAACTATCAGAAGAATTTATGGTATCAAAAGGACTAAGACAAGGATGATGTATCTCACCAACTTTATTTAAAATCTACATAGGAGTATTGAAAATATGGAAAAAGAAATGTTGTAATATGGGAATAGATATTAACGGTAAGTCAATGTTTACATTACAATTCGCAGATGATCAGGTGATAATGGCAGAAGATAAGGATGGTCTGGAACACACGACAAGAAAAATAAGAGAGGGACATTTTAAAGGAAGTTTATATAGAAACATGAGTAAACCAAAATATTTATGCACAGGAGGACTGAACAGTCATGGAACTGAAAGGAGAAAAGATTGAGGGATGTGAGCATTACAATTATCTTGGAATACAAACTCATCAAGATGGAAGAGATGCATTAGAAATTAATACAAGATTAGCGCAAGGTAAGAGAGCAGTTAAAAGATTAAATGGAATATAGTAGAGTGAAGAAACAACTAGATCAAGAAAAAAAAGAATACATAATGCTAGTGTTAAAAGCAATCTATTATACGGAGTGTAGGCATGGAGAATGACTGGGGGAGAAGAGAGAAAAGTAACAACAGTTGAAATGGATGCATTGAGAAGATTGAGCAGAATCTCAAAAAGAGAAAGAATAAGTAATGAGAGGATCAAAGACCTAATAGGTTTGAAGGAGATGGTTTTTGAAGAAATACAGATAAAACAACTTATTTGGTTTGGACATGTGAAAAGAATGAGTGGTGAAAGACTCCCGAAAATGTCAATGGAATACATTCCACAATAAAAGAAAAAGAGAGGAAGGCCCAGGCAAACTTGATACGACGGAGTAAAGTTAGCATATAGTGAAAACAGGATTAAAGAGGAATGGTGTATGGATAGAGAGAGATGGAGAGGGTTTCTGGAGGTCAGAAGGCGATGTCAGATGCCATAAATTGAATATAGCTAGATAGTAATAAAAATTTAAGAACAGCAATATTAATATGTTACATGATTCTAAATTGAAATAATGTTAAGAACATTAAAAAGAAATTCATAAAAAATGGAAAAATATTTTATGTACACATACTCCAGAATGGTGAATGTTGTGTTAGCTATATATTATTGTTATTGAAGCATTAAAATTACAATATTAAGAATAAACATTACAATAAAATAGTTGAGTTCATAGACACCATTTGTAAATGAATAAGATTTTTAAACAAATTTTCAATGCTTTCAAATAACAGATCACTAGATATATCAACTCTTGAAATATAATCATAGAAAACAATTTGTCAAACAAATACAAAATACAATCCAGTTTTCAATTAAAAGCTAAGATATCAATAAATGAGAAAAACAATAAAACATACTTTTATAATTTGTGAATATTTTAAAGCAGGGGTTTCTCAACCTTTTTAAAAGGGACATACACAAAAAAAAATATTTTTTCATTGACCCCCTTCAATATTAATTATACTATATTATATTATATATGCTATAGTCTCTTACATAATTTTTAAAAACATCTTCCTACACTTATTTAAGAACAAAAATATGCAAAATTTTTAATGTTGTAAAATAATTTTTTATATTTGCAAAGTTATATTGACCCCCTTCTAAAGGAATTAGATGCAGCTTTGAAAAAAAAATTAAGAATGTCTTGGAATACAGATGTCTATTTTAAAATATATAAATGTGCTGATACAAAAGAAATATAACTTTTTTGGTGAATCTTCTATAATTTGTGTCAAATAAGCAAAAGCCAAGCTTTAAATGCACAGAGATTTATTTTTAATATATTATTTATCAAAATCTTCAAAATAGTTCAAAATCTTGAGTTTTAAGTATTTTTATGTGACCATAAAATAAAAAAACTTATTAAAAATTTGATTAAATTTCAGAATTAATGACAAAAATACTTAAGATTCAAATCTGGTTGATTCTGAATTATTAGAACTTTATCAAATCCAATTTTGAAATTTTTACTTACTGGTGAATGCAATATGTATATTTAAATAGCGAAGGATTCCAATTTAAGTAAACGACATCGAAGAAGTGAAGGAGAGAATCATAATCTATCCAAAACACACCTATAATTGAAGACAAGAATTACACTCATTTCTACAAATTTTGCATCAATATTACATATATACAAATTTTTTTGTAATTAAAATTAAATTTATAATTTAATATAAACTTCTTTTCACTTATTTAAATCGCTGATGATAATTTAGAATTAAATAAGTTAATTATAGAAGCATAAGTTTTAAATTTTGATTTTTCAACATAATTACACATGATTATTAACAAAATAATTTATGATATTGTTGTCATCATTATTTTATTAACATTTGGTTCTTTATATACAATAATTTGTATATAATAATAGAGGTTTTATAATTAACCTTACCATTGTCAAACATCTTTGCACTTTTTGGATCATATTTCAATGCCTCCCGTAACTGCAGCGTCCAACTTGCGCTGTCATGTTCCGAATATTTTCCTTTCCAGCGAAGATGGCTCCAGGGATTTTTTACTAGAAATAATTGTTTTCCCTGAAAGTGAATATAAATAACATTAATAACTGTTTACATCTTTGTTAAACAAAAAATATTCAAATGTAGTAAAATCCCCATTTTTTGCTTTTTTCCACAGTCTTTCCATACCTACTGTGGGATCGACCAGTCTTGCAATGGGAATGCCAGATGACGAAAAATGTGACTCAATTTCTGGAACAGACTAAAAAGAAATTTTTTTTGTGAATTCCTAACTAGATCCTAGCTCCTTTACTGCCTTAGTCATGCAACCATCAGAAAAATCTCAATTTAACCAAAAGCAAATTTCTAATTTGAAAATTTAATTGGCATTAATAACAGACATTATGTAAAACCAAATTCAAAATTTTAATTGCATTAATAAACATTATCAGATATAATAGCATAATAGATTATTTTGCTTCAGTGTTTCAACTGTAAAAATATTTGAAAATTGCTGGTAAATGTTAAATTGGATTGGTTTGGTTAGTAAGATACCAAGAATGTTTCCTTTGAGATCAGTATTTGAATCCGTCATTGGCAATTGCTTTCATCATAACCAATAATTCAATAATATTTTCTTTATTTAAAAAAGCATTACAGTAAACAATTGGATGATGTAAAAATATAAAATATTACGCTTAAAATCATCATATTGTATTTTTGCAGAATGACTGGCATGCTGGTCTATCTGGGGAGACCATGAAATCAGATATTTCTGTATGGTAAAAACCGGCATGCCAGTTTAAGTGAGGCTATACATCCCTCCCTCTATACAGCACACATTAAAAAAAAGATGTTTTTATTCTAAAACCGAAACTATCAGCATTACACCAAAAACTACAATTATATGTTTAATTTCTTCATTTTGTCTTCTTTCAAACAACATAAAATACACACACAACTAGCAGTTTTGGAATTCCAAGAGTATTTTATTGTTATTTGAATAAAAAATGCAAAAATACAGTCGACCCCCCCTACAACACTGTTGATAATTCCGTTTTATATGAATTACATGTTGTATGAGTTACTTAGATTTTACAAATATGTGTGCCGGGCTGTGAATGGCTCATGTATTTGTAAAATCTAAGTGACTCGTACAACATGGAATTCATATAAAACGGAATTATCAACAGTGTTAGAGGGGGGTCAACTGTAAACATATTAAATTTAAGAAACTCACTGTAAATTATCTCAGCTTACACCAATTAACATCCACTTTGTGTGAAATTTGAGAGTCAGAATTTGAGATTTTTTAAGGTCAGGGTAGATGGTTCGTGTAACCCACACTGACTAACTACCAGGACTTACTGACATGAGTAGTAAATCGTTTTATTACCTTGTAAATGAAAACTCTCTTCTTGATTTTAAGTCATGAAATTACAATAGTATTATTTTATTTCACTTAGAAGAATGTTTTCTTTAACATTTAATTAACAACTAGTGTTGATAGATCTGATTCATTTTATATTTTAGTCACAGTTTAATCAGCATGCCAGTAATCCCAGGGTTTCCAGCATGCTGGTCTCCCCCATTTTTACGTAGAATGTCAGTCATTCTGCAAAAATACAGTAACACTTTTTCCATCACAAAAATAAAATAAAAATGGCAGCACTGGAAATTAATGAACTGCCAAAAAACTTTTGAAGTGAAGTGAGTGGGGGCTGAGCAAAAGAAAGCATGCATGAATATAGGGTTGGGCCGTGAGGGGAGTGAAGCAAGCAGGACTAGAATGGTTGGCCACCTATCCTATGGGAAGACCAAATGAGTGGGAGGCTGGTCTGAGGGGCATTGGCTCTCTTGCAGGAGATAACTCATCAAAATTTTTATTACAAATTGCACACTTGTTTTCAATATAGACTAAGCAAATAGGGAGTTGAACCACCATAGGCTGCTAGTAGGGTTTCTCATTTCCCGGTCTTTTGGGGAAAAAGTGAACTGTTCTGGGAAATCCCAGGATAGACTTAATTATTTTTAAGATATACAAAATATCATGAATTCAAATGATATATTTTTCATTTTTTAAAGTAATTTAATATGTTCTGCAACCTACAAAATCATATTAATAATGCTGTATAAGATATATATTAAAAATTACCTTTGAATTACATAGAAATGTTCACAAATAGAAAATATTTATTAAAGTTTGCTGGAAACTGCATACAACAACAACAACAAAATGCTTTGAATTGAGTTAAAAATTAAAAAAAAATGAACTTAGATCAAACTTCTAACTTAGAAGGTAATTTTTGTTTTTAAATAAAATATAATATAAAATATTGTAAATTTTTATAAGATTTTAAAAAGCAAAGATGGTCAATACTCTGTTCACTCAATCTGATTCCTATTTTAGCAATGAAAAGTCCCGCTACCGAGAATGCCCTTTCCGATTCAATTGATGTGAGTGGAATCATGTTTAATGCATTTAAGAGAAAACAAATATTGTGTGTTTTTCACCTGTATCCTGAAAGATTTCTAGTTCATTTTTGAGATTGTAGTATTTCTTTTGTTCTCTAGTACTCTTGATTTATCTACCTTGACTGCTTTAATAGAAACATCATAGCCCAATAATTCGGCAGTTTGTTTGTCTTTAATAATCGGGTTTATGAAGAAAAACTTCATACTTGCAGACTTGCCCAATTTGCACAACTTGGCGTTACACAGTTATTGAAGCTACTGGGCATGGTTAAAAATTAAGACAGCATAAGCATAATTATTCCAGATATTACAGGTAAAGAATTTTGAAAGTCCTGCCACAAATAAGCTACGTATTGATTATTAACCATTTGTGACATATCATAGCGAGCAAAAATTTAAAAAATCTAATAAGTAGGTTTAAAATTAATAAATACAAATGTATTCTGACAGTTTGTGTGTTAATTATACTTTCTATTTGCAAAATTTCCTCAACCTTAACACAAAATAAGAATTTTTAAGAAATTTGTGGGATTTCCCGGGTTCCCGTTTGAGAAACCCTAGCTGCTAGTGAGCAAAGCCCCTTAGTTTATACATAAAATTACAGTAAATTCACCAATCAATTCAAATGAAAGCAGAATGCATAAAGAAAGACAAATGGTAAGTCAAATATGTCAACTAAGAAATTCCAGTTTGAAAAATTAAAATGTTTTATATCCTACAAGACATCAAAGTTTAAACCTTGATGCTTTGCAGAATGTCAAGGTATTAACAACATAATAGAAATAACAAATAATTTTTTCTAAATGTTGGCCAATAACAATCAAATTGGGAAATTTAATTCAATCCTTAGAAACAAAATAAACAAATTTTATTTGTTCTTTTACAATTACATTATTTATATACCTTACCATTCCAGTTATTTCATAATGTCACAATATCTAAAAACAATTTATATTAAGCACCATTTGCTTATTTTTAAAGATATATTTATTATTATTAATTCACTCCTTCCTATTCTTTATTCAAATATATTGTTTACATTATAAGAGAACTAGCAGATCCCGCCACACCTTGTTGTGGCTCAAAATGTATCTATTATAAATGTATAACACTTCCCCCGTGGGTGGGAATTTTTCGAAAAATTTTTTCTTAGTGTACATTCTCTTGACGTACCCTATTAAAACGCAATCAAAAGCGCAAAAACCCGCATCTAAAATAGTATAATAGAAGCCAAGTTTTTCACAGTAAGCCTTAATCCTGTCCCTCTCCCCCGCGGGGGAATGTCGAAAAATCCCTTCTTTGTGTACATTGTGTTGACGTACCCTATTAAAACGCAATCAAAAACGCAAAAACCCGCATCTAAAATAGTATAATAGAAGCCAAGTTTTTCAGAGTAAGCCTTAATCCTGTCTCTCTCCCCCCCGGGGGGAATATCGAAAAATCCCTTCTTAGTGTACATTCTGTTGACGTACCCTATTAAAATGCAATCAAAAATGCAAAAACTCCGCATCTAAAATAGTATAAATAGAAGCAGAGTTCTTTACGGTAAGCCTTCCCCGTAAGGCTTACCATAAAGAACTGTCCATCCCCCATGTTTAACGGAATAATATACAGCCTATGTCCACCCTGAAGTTCCATTCTAAAAATTGGTGAAAAAATTTTTGAAATCGGATGAGTAGTTTCGAAGATTACCTGCTGCATACAAACTAACATACATACAAACATTACCTCTTTATAATATTAGTATAGATGAAGATTGCCAACTTGAGATGAATGCTGTGAATTTGGAAGTAATTACTACAGTTCTTGATTCTAATGTGCATGATGAGTTTGAAATCATATTTTAAAAGTTTTAATGGAGGAAAAAATTTGTAAATAATAAATTTTATTATGTACCGCTGAGTAAGAACAAGTTAAAAATCCTCAACTTCCAGTAAATCAAATGCCACAAAATAGGAAACTTTTGGCAGTTATATTTCAATATTGTTCACATATGACAATTTTCTATCTTAATGCTCTATCACAAAGTTATCCCAAAGATAGTTTAAATGTTAAAAGTCATTAAATTAAATGCTCACCACTAGCAAATTTTGTTTAAACTAATGTGACCACCAAGTAGTAGAGCCAAAAACCTATTATTGGCTTAAGACACATCTGGTCCACTTGAAATGACTTCCAATCATTGTTTTGGATCATAAATTTAAAATGCCAGCAATTCTAAGACACATCTACTTCAGAAGAGCAAAAATGGGTAAAAAGTAAATCTTGGATTCAAGGAATTTAATCCTTTAAATGTCTTAAGAACATTGATTTCTTGATACTTAAATTTGTGTCAATCTGGATAATGAAAAACAAGATTAAATATAAAATTTTTAAGTCTACAAGCACAATATTTTAAATTTATTTCTAGGATCCAACTCCATTTGACAGTACTTTCCAAGTATTTTTCTCAAAAGTAAATGGAAAAGGTTTTGATTCATAGAAAAAAGTCTAAAAGATGTATTTTTATATTTCTAACTTTGGGTTCAAAGACAAAAATTTCAGAATGTAATTTGAACATAAATTTTGAAATATTTTTTTATTTCGATTGCATTTCTGACTTTCTACCCAATGATGTGAAATAACAGGTAAACTTGTATAAATAACCAATAAATCTAATTTCTAAATAAATAAAACTTGTAAAATAAATACACACCATTACTTCTTTTACATCTAGTATGGCATAGGCATGAGTGGGTACAAGACCGGCTCTATCGGCTTCAACTTCATTTAGTTCACCCGTGGCAACACTCAGTAGCACGTCTCCTTTCAAATGACGGCTGTGTAACATTTTGAACAGATTTTGCTTGTTGAAATCAGGATCTTGTGTGTTTATTGCTATTCGTTCGGGTATCCATCCAGTTAAAGCATGAAGATCGATGTTCTTTAAACAAAAGGAATTTCAATTAAATTTAAATCAACGTATATTACAAAAGATAATATAAATGGCACTCACAGAGTTAGACCCAGGAAAGTCATATCCTCCCATTACTTTCATGTATGCCTTTTCGAGGAGGGAAACCCAAAATTCGTTGCAATTACTTGAATATGAACACAGTAATTCTCCATTTTGTGTCGACGGAAGATAATCGTCAATTATTATCTGAAAATGCATCTTAGAATTAATTAATTTTATAAATATGCAGGGTAGCCACTCAAAATCTCAAAAGTTACTCAGCTATTTCCTGGTTTGTCCTAGTAAAAACATAACTTTTCCTAGTTCATTTTTAATTCTTCACAAGAAGAGCATTTACAATCTTATAATTTATACATTACAAAACAAAGTAAACAATATTAAACAGTCTATTTTAGTTTTAATTTTTATAAATTCCAATGAAAAGCAACAAAATTTATGACTCTTGACAAATAATGATTTAGCAATGACTCTGAATGATGTAATCAAGTTAACTTGAAAACTGCTTAAGCAAAACAAAAGGGAAGTGTAATTTAGCCCAACTAACAGAAATTTTCATCGTCAATACAAACTGATGATCAGATATGGTCAATTATTCAAGTGGATTTAACTTGATGGAATGGAACCATCCTAGTGGCTGATGATGGTGTGGATAGAATATGGATAGTAAATATATGGATAGATGATGGTAGGAGTAGACAAAGTAGCTAAAATTGTACATTAATATCCAGTAAATTCTTGAAAGAATGGCACTCGAAGAACACAGAATATTTAAAACAAGAGAACCTTCCAGAACTTGTTGAATCAGGCACCATCAATATTACCAAATAATTAAAATATTTTCATCTTTTTGAAATTCTTCTTCATATCTCTCTGAATATTTTCAATAAGATTTATTGCATTTAAACTTAAATTTGTATCTGCAGCTTTTATAAGTACTAAACTCTTAATTATAACATTTTATATTTATTAGAATATCACTAAAAAGGTATAGCATGCTGGAAAAAAAAAACAAGGAAAATTCATAATTTCAGAAATAAATAAAAATTTGACAAAGATTTAAACAGAACAAAAACAAAGTTTATTGAATAAATAATTAATTAATTATTCAATAAATTAGAAGAATATTAATATTGATATTCACAAAATTTAAAACAATGGGATCAGTAAAAAATTCATAAAAAAATTTTTATTGTAAATTCTAAAAATTAATAAAATAATTTCTAGATTAAAACCAAATAAAACTACTTTCTCTTATCCAACTTTGAGTGATTTATTTTAGCAGATAAACAAATAATGTAGAAATATTAAACTTTAACTTTAATTACCAACAACTTTATATTCACAAAATTCATCATAAAATCCAAATGCATTTTGCTTACAATAAAGCCTCATCAGTGGACATGGATAAGAGAAAGTAGTTTTACTTGGTTTTAATCTAGAAATTATTTTAATAATTTTTAGAATTTACAACAAAAATTTTTTATTAATATTGACATTTTCTCTATTATCACTACAAATTTGGTACCTTTTAACTGAAGACACAAATAGGTAAAGGGGTTTTGTTACAATCATTCAAAGCCCAATTGTCCCGCATTGATAAAGGTGTAATGTCACCTTGTTTCAAATGCTGTTTTACATTATGTGATTTATGTTGTTCTTGGATAAAAATGCCACTTTCTGTTGTCAACATATACTTCCTTGTCTTCAGAACATGTATTGTGTATACCCTTGAGTGACAATGTAAAATTAATAAGCACATAAAATCTTAACAAATACCACAAACTCTAATGAATTTGCCATCAATATTTTGATGAAAACTAAATTAATTGTTGCAACCATTTGTTTCTCTGATATTTTGGTAATTTGCCTATTTTAGATATCTTAACTTCCTAAAAATAATTCATGGGTTATCTGTATTTTAAAGTCAATTTGAAAGCAGGCATGAACCCATGCCTGCTTTCAATTTTAAACTGCACTTACAAATTTGCCCAATGGTTTTTCTTTTATAAGTAATAGATATGTATATATCCATGGTGCGGTTTACTTTATATTACTTTTAAAAAATCAATTTTTCAAAAATATTTCCTCAAAATTGATGAAAAAACTTTATGGGTTAATTGTACATAAATAACCCCCGTTTTTTGCCTGGACCGCATTTAATCAGAGACAAAGCTTTTATTTGTATTCTTTATTTATTTTCTATGCATTTCGAGTGCAATATTTTCTTGTAATTTGCACCCCTCTTCAGGATTTTTACATTTCTATAAATTTGGTAAATTTAATTATTACATCAGTAAATTACTACAATTAGTTAGTAAACCATTGTATAACTATTGTAGTAATTTACTGATGTAATAATTAAATTTACCAAATTTATAGAAATGTAAAAATCCTGAAGAGGGGTACAAATTACAAGAAAATATTGCACCCGAAATGCATAAAAAATAAATAAAGAATACAAATAAAAGCTTTGTCTCTGATTAAATGCGGTCCAGGCAAAAAAACGGGGGTTATTTATGTACAATTAACCCATAAAGGTTTTTCTTTTGTCTAAACTTACTAAGTGTTTTTAAAAATAGTAAAAAATTCTTTACATGGCACACATATTTGTCTGCTATTGAAATTTTTCTGGAAATAACCAAATATAAGTATGTCTCACCTTTAGTTCTTTCCCATTTTTTCTGCATTTTAACATTTCAAGTTTACATTATTAGATATTTCTACTTAAACTTGTATCTTGAAAGCTATTCCACCTTTTCTGTATAATGACATCAACTATTAATTTTAGCATACATTAATTCTCTACAGTAAATAAGAGTTAAACAATTGACTCCAAAACTCGCCATTAAATACGAAAGTGTCTACTGCAACTTTCATAGTAAAATCAGCAATGATAAGATTAATAACAATTACTTTTTTTATCACTTATTTATTTTAATCTGCTTTGGCAATAATTCCTACAAAGAGCTATACTGGTCACATCACCACTCCAGATTTGTCTTAACCCCAGAAAGCTCTTCAAGCATCAAATGTATTACAGATGTTATATATGTTAACATCTCTAATTTTTTTTCAAGTTTAATTTAGTATTTATTATTATTATTGTATACTTAGTCTGTTCAATAAAATATGAACTTTTCAAAATCATCTTTGATGAGTAGTTAGTCAGACTTGTTGTCAATCAAGCCATGTGACCTGAATAATTATATCGCTTTAAAGTAACCAGTTCCTGAAATGTAAAAAGCAGAATGTTATGTGGGTTCTTCAATGTGATGCAATGTCACATGATTGATTTCAGTCGATGATCGTCAGTTTTCTAGCTTTCCGACATCATCAATGACAGATGTTATGAACAACCAATGAACCAATCCAAATACTCTTGTTTACAAAATAATGGTTTACAAAGTAGGTCATTTGCAGATCATGGAAATGATCTGCAAATGACCTACCTTGATAGCAACAATTAACAGTTAATTAAGCTCTGAGCATAGCTTTGTTTGCTTTAATCATCCCTTAACGCCCACACACAAGTCTCACTTGGGCAATTATTAAATAATCGTTTTTCAACTTCCTATGAATGGATTTGACTCAAGTAAAGTTTTATTTACCTTCTATTGGATGTTGTCTATGATCTCAGCAAATTTCATAATTTTATACCCAATAGAAGTTCTTGTTTTAGACCTTTTTTTTCTGTTTCCAACCTATAAAAATAGTACAAATGATCAAAAATAAAGTGATATATTTCAGTATTTGTGGTAATTAGTACACATGTGGCTAGAATCCCAACTTCCCAAGGCAATCATGGAAATGATCTGCAAATGTTGACCAACAGCTGTTCTCAAGGTCAAATAGTTATAAAACATACTACTGTATGTGTCATTGTGGTTTGTGTTATATGAGAAAAAAATACAAATTTAATATTTTTAAAGCAATATTTTATAATTAAAAGCATTTATTTCAAATTATTATATATTTTTGTAGTAGTTTTCCTATATAATGCATTTTGGAAAGGGTGCCATTTAGGAACCACTTTGTACATATTCATAGAAGTAAAATCAAATACTTTTTTACTATTAATTAATTAATATTAATTAATATTTTTTTAAGTTATAATAATCAATAATAAAAAAATTGGCATTAATGGATTAGTTTATGGTATACATTCACCATTCAGAAAGGTTGTCAGACTAGGTGATAAACTGCCAATTAGGCTACCAATTCTACAAGTTGGATATTAAAATTTTTACACCATAATTTGTAGACAATTTATCTTTGACTTACAATTATGCAATGAATATTGGCTATTTTTTAATATAATTATGAAACAGTTTAAAAATTGAGAGATTTTTGAAATTGAAGCAGTATATTAAAAAGTGGAGCTGTCCTACCTAATTCAAAACATCTAATCACTTTACAATAGACTATGAATTCTTGTTATTTACATTGTTTATAATTATTTTATTTGTCAAAATTCATTTTATAACATTTAAAATGATATTCCTGGCTTGGCTATGCAATGTTTCATCTTTACTTTCCATTATTTTGCTAACAAAATTATAACTAAAGATAGCATTACAGTAGAGCGTCGTTTATCCGAATCAATTGGGGACTGGGGTGGTTCGGATAACTTATTTTTCGGATAACAAATCATGTACGAAAAAATATATTAATTTATCCCATGTTGAAATTTCTCTCTGTTGCGTGTTGCTTCGTGTTGAATTTGCATCGATGTTAAGCCTAATGAAGACTATTGTATCATTAAAAATTATTTTTTTATTTTGTACAAACAAAATAAATTTATTGAAAAATATAAAAACAATAAAAAATTATACTTCAGATGTTAATTTAGTATCAAAAACGTAAAATATTTGAGTAGCCCGAGAAATAGCCAAAGATTGCAGCGCCAAAGCACTAGCGAAAATTTAAATTTGTCAACTGGAATGCTTTCGGATAACGGACGTTTCGGATAACCAGCTTTCGGATAAACGACACTCTACTGTATTACCAATTTGATTTGTTTGCTTCATTTTTAAACTCAACATTGTAGAAAATTAATACATTTGTAAATAAAACACCAAGTAAAATACATTTGTATACAATTTAAATAACTTTTGAGTTAGAAGACAGTAATAAATTAAATTGTGTAACATTTTCTGAACTGTAACTGGATGAACAAAACTGAATTTTAGCATCCTATTGAATAGCTGATATCATGATTACAATCCATTAAAATATTTACCATATAAGGAAGCTAATCTCTGATTTTAAAAATATTATCATCAACTTTGATACTTAATAAAGTTTAGATATATTGGAGATGAAACTTTTCCCCCCGATTCCCTTATTTTAACAATTTATTGTAGGTAGGTGTAGGTGTAATTATAACAGAAATAAAATGAAAGAAATGAGAAAAAAATGCAATGTATGAAATAAAACTTTCTAATTGCATATGAGTTAAGCAATGTATTTTCAAATGCAACTTTGTAGGTGCAGATTATATGATAAGACAATGCAGTGTGGATTATACACAGGAAATTGCAGTATTATAATTTAACACAATTACCTTTCGTGGTACACCATTTATGTGAAGTTTTACCATATATTTTCCACATGGATTATAAACTGGTTCTCCGGCTCTATTCTGAGGATATATAATGCTGAAAATGAAATAAATATAATATTAATAAAATAAAATTATCTAATTAATATTTATTTCAAGCATGCATATAAAAATAAACACAGTAAACCTTCACATTTTACACTTATTCCTGAAGATGCAAACAGTTTGAGAATTTCATTGTCATAAAAAGTTTGTTGAAAAACACTGACTCAAGCTCTTGAGACAATAATCATTTGATTTGAGGAAACTGGACATCTGGCAGTTTGACTGGTCAAGGTGCAATCTTATCATTTTAAGCAATTGAAGACTTTGTTAAACAGTTAATTGATAATGTTGCATGCTCCAGTAATGAACAGGCAGTGTCATGGGGTTGGGTGTATCCTATAGCACAATGTGGAATGCACTGAAAAGGTTGATGCACTGTTAATTGTATAAGGTTGGCCAGGACCAGTAGTTGCTTGCCACCAACAGGAAAATATGATTGATCCTTGCATTCTGTTTTCTTACCAGAATAGATGGAAATGTGTTGTGGCTGTGGATGATCCTATGGAATAACAAGACACATTTTCACCTTGATGAAATAGTGAATACTCAGAACTGTTGCATTTGTTCCACAGAAAACCCTCACAATTTCTAGTAGATTCCACTGCAGTTGCCTAAGTTAGTCTTGTGTGGATTCACAGTCACATTTAACCTTGGATCATTCTTCTTCAAAGAAGCTAGTCTCAGTGAGGCTGTAACTTGCTTCGTGACAGCTTGAAATACTGACAGTTGCTTATATTTTGTCATAACCCAAATGCAATGGCAACAATGCTCAAGTCAACCACTTTCTTACAAAATGGATCATCTCCATATATTGGATGTTGCATACAGCAATTTCTGCCACAATATTTTACCAATAAGGAGAAATGTTGTTGCAGAATAATTAATTATGCATTTCCTATTTCCAAATATCACACAGATTAAGATCCAGAGAAAGAGGTATCTTCTTTGTCTTCAAATCTTAATTAATGTGATTTTTGGTTGCAGAGACACACAAAAAGTGTGATTTAGCAAGAACATTGTGCAAATTTGGCAATCTCAAATTACAGTATATTACACAGTGACTGAAAAGCATCACAAAGGATCAAACCTGGTCAGCCATTGAACACATTGTTAATTGCCTTCTACTTCAGACAGTTGCACTTCTACTCTTATAGCTTATACCTAGCTATTTAAAACTGGCAGCCCACACACAATCCAGATCCAATTAATCTAGCCATATCTCCCTAGTAACATAATATCAATAGTTTCATCATTACAAATAGCCAGCACAATATTGCACAGTTGCAATTAATCAATAATTAGTAAGGAGAGTGCATGCTCTAAGATTCAAAAATCTGTGAGTTATCCATAGTGACAACAATACAACAATCTGATCTGATGATAGAGATTTGTGCACATACAATAATTTTTATGTATTAGTTTTATTTATGAACAGTTTAAAAATGGCAATGAGCTTTATATAATACATATCATACATATTCATCCATCCTTGCTGAAAAAAGTTAAAATTACCTTCAAACCAGAAACAAATAGTTATTGTTTGATCTGTTTTTGTTTTTGCTATTAGATACACTAGATGAACTAGTGGCAAATTAATTTTCTTGGCAGTCATCAGAAAGACTTGTTGACGCAGTTGCTTCTTGGATCAAAGTTGCAAAATTTTGGGAAATTTTGCGGTTTTCTTTTATTATTTCCAATTTTAATATTTTTGAATGTTTAGATCTTACAAAATTTGGTTCCCCAATAACATTCTAATTACTGCTGTACAAGGATTTTTCTTAAAAAAAATTAATTATTAGATTATTTTTAAACGAGTTGTAATATAAATCAAAGGTCTACTGTGTATTGTGTATGTATGGTACAGTACATATGTACAAACACACATGTATTTATTAGGTTATTCGGAAAGTAATTTCGTTTTTTTTTACCACTAGATGAATTATTTGTACTTTTTCCACCATTTTCATTCTAAACCGTATTATCATTATATATTTTGACAGCTAGCATTTTAAGGCTTATTTGTAAAAAATTTTATTTCATTTCATGCAATTGTTTATTTTTTGTGTCCCATCAAATATGGAAGATCAAAAGCAGCATTTTCGGCATATTTTGCTTTATTATTACCGAAAAGGTAAAAATGCTGTTCAAGCGAGAAAAAATTTGTGTGACGTATATGGAGAAGATGTATTGACAGAACGACAGTGCCAAAACTGGTTTACAAAATTTCGTTCACATAATTTCAATATTGAAGATGCACCACGTTCTGGATGGCCAGTTGACATCAATGAAAACAAAATAAAGGTACTTATTGAAGCAAACTGTTAAATAATGACACATGAAATCAGTAAGAGATTAAATTTGTCAAATTGAACCGTTTATGATTACTTGAAACAAATTGGTTTCGTTTCAAAGCTTGATATATGGGTTCCACATGTTCTTAAGGAGAGATGCTTTCATTTGTGGGATTTTAAAGAAATTTTTTTTTTGGAGCTTTTACCAGACAATTTAACAATTGATTCAAAATTGTACTGCCATCAAGTAAACAAATCGAGTAATATCATCAAACAGAAAAGGTGGCCAGAATTGATCAACAAAACAGGTGTAGTGTTTTACTACAATAATGTCAAATTTCACATAAGTTTGGTAACTCGTCAGAAACTGTTATAACTTAGATGGAACGTGCTATTGCACCAACCATATTCGCCAGATCGAGCACACTAAGATTATTACTTGTTCCGGTCTATACAATTTTTTTTAACTAAGACATTTACTTGAAATGACAATGTCAAAAATCACTTGGATCAGTTTTTTGTAAGCAACGATCAAAACTTTTATGAATGTGAAATCATGCTACTACCAGAAACGATGACAACAGGTATTTACCAAAATGGTCAATAAATAATTCAATAAAATATTTATTTATTATAAAAATATTGTGTTTTTTTCCATGGAAAAAAACGAAATTACTTTCCGAACAACCCAATATTATGCAATAACTAATTAAATTTTTACCTAGTGATAATTTTCCTTTTGAAACGTTTCTCATACAAAGCACTAACAGCTAGAGAAGCAATAAAGGAACAATCAGATACAAGAGTCTGAAAGATAATAAGCATAAATTAATCTTAATTTTTAATACTTTTAGAGAAATTAATTATTATTTTACCTGTTTAATACTAAAACAATCAATCAGCTCAATTATTTTTGGACCGGAAGATATATCTTCCGGTCTTATCCACCTTTTGAACGATGTCTTCTGTTTGGGTGAAAGTGCCAACTTACCATCTTTATCCGTAAAAGGTAACGGATAGGCAAATTTTTCTTTTAAATCAATTGACATAAAAGGTACATATTCACGACCATTAATAAATGAGGTTATTCTGAAAAAACATGAAAATTCTCAATTAATTGTTGTATTTATCATCTAAATTTTTCCTAATAATAATGATATGAGATGATTAATTACATAAAATATAATCTAAAGTATTTTTAGCATCAGTACATATATATATATTTTAAATACAGTACATATCAAACCATAATTATACATTGATGACTTGGAGCCATCAGGACATGTGTGTAGTTTTTGCACTATTGAGACAGCCAAAGGTCAAGAGACCCAAGTGTTTGATGCACAAATATAAACACAATTATTGTATAAATTTTATACAATAGTGCACTTACTACAGAATAGCTGAATCTGCTGTAATGTGATAATTGCATTCCCAAAATTCACTATCAAAATAATAGTCACTATTTCAATTGAAAAATGAAGGTTATTAGCTATAATCCCCTTCATTTTTCAATTAAGCTAATAACTTAATTAATCTCTAGCTAATAATTTTCTTACAAGAATTATGATGATGAAAACATTTTTCATGTTGTTATTAAGAAATTGTCCTATTATTTCAAACATAAAAATATATTAACTCTAATAACAACAAAATTTAAGCAATTAGTAAATTCTGAATATTTGACTTTGCTCAAAATAAAATATGCTTCAGTTACTATAATATTGGGTGTATAAATATGACTCCGCCCTTTTTTAATAGATGGTGTTAGTAGTACTGCTTGCATGCAACATTTTTATTTGAAAGATTTGACAGCATTCTTCAAAAATAAATCTGAGACATCTGTTTAAAGTGTAAACAATAATTATTTTTATTTGATTAAAATTGTCGAGTTTTGTGCCAGGAAAACAGCATTTGTGGGAAGTCTTGCTTCATTATTTTATTTCAAAGAAAACTGCAGCAGAAACATATCATTTGCTGTTGGAAATTTATGATGAACATGCTCCATCCAATACAACATGCAAAGAGTGGTTTTGATGGTTTAAAAATAATGATTTTGATACACATGGCAAAGAGCATGAAACACCACCAAAAAAATTCCAAGATGAAGAATTGGAAGCATTACTTGATGACAATCCTTGCCAAACACAATTGGAACTGGCTGCTGCTTTAAATGTTTCTCAACTATGTATTTCCCAGCATCTATGTGCAATGGGAATGATTCAAAAGCAAGGAAATTGGGTCCAATATGAACTGAAAGAAAGAGACATTGAATGTCGAAAAACGATATGTGAATTATTGCTCCAAAGACAAAAAAGAAAAGGTTTTTTGTACTGAATTGTTACTGGAGATGAAAAATGGATACACTTCAACAATCCTAAATGACCAAAGGCATGAGTACGTACAGGTGACCCAGGTCCATCAATGCCAAAACAGAATGTTCATGGAAGTAAAGTTATGTTGTGTATCTAGTGAGACCAAAAGGGTGTCGTGTACTATGAGCTGTGGCAACCGAGTAAGACAATCAATGCTGAACGTTACAAACAACAGTTAATCAAATTGAACAAAGCATTGAAGCAAAAACATCCAGAATATGCCAAAAGACACAACAAAGTTGTCTTCCAACATGACAATGCTTGCCCACATGTTGCAAGATCAGTTAAGGAAACTCTAGAAGAACTTCGCTGGGATGTATTGCCCCACCTACCATATTCTCCAGATGTCGCTCCTTCAGATTACTATTTATTTCGATCCATGCAGAGTGACCTTTCAGGAAAGCAGTTCAGATCTTATGAGGATATTCAAAATTGGGTTGATAACTGGATTGCTTCAAAACAACCAGACTTCTTCCTTCATAGAATCCATTTGTTGCCTGACAGATGAACAAATTTTGTCACTTCTGATGGAAGATAGTTTGAATAAATTTTTCTTTCATTTTAAAAACAAACGTCTTATATTTACCGAAAAAGGGCAGAGTCATATTTATACACCCAATAATTAACCTGTCCTACGTTGTTCCTGAAAATATTCATGTTGATCTCAGTGACCTGCATGGGCGATCCCGAATATTTTCATGTTTACATCGGAACATTTTTTATACTAGATGTCGCTATGCATCACAATTTTTATATTAAAATGAACTTTTAAAATATAATTTTTTTTGTTTCTATATTATTCAATATATTTATTTTGTTTGTGAAACATAAAAAATAATTTTTTACGATACAGTAAACATGATTATTATTTAAAAATTAAAAAAAAATTTTAGGCTTAACATCCACAAAAATTCAACATGGCGTCACAGGCAACAAATAAAAATTTCAACATCGAATAGGTTAATAACATTGAATTTTTATGATGATAATAAAATGGAAGTTTCTGTAAATTTCTGTAATTGTAAGAAAAAAAAGCCAAATGAAATAAAAAAAATGTTCTTGTATAGAATGCTATACCTAATATGTGTATGGCAGCAATTCTTGAAGTTGAATTGGAGCATGGATGGTCTGCATGTCTTTGATTCAGTTTTAGTGGTCTATGGACCACTAAAACTGAATCAAAGACATGAAGACCACCCCTGCTCATTTATCTACACCTTATCTTATAAAAAATCATCTTAGATGCATGCCAATAATTTTATTTCTTCTACAATAAGCAATAAAGATGCAGAAGATTAATATTTGATTGTGTCTTGTTTGTCTATGTTCTTTCTTCTATTGCTTCTTTGTTTCTTAGATTCTAATTTGAGAATACCCAGGCTCAACATCAGAGTTAAAATCCATCAGATAAATGAAGCTTATTGACCTTTAGTTGATATAAAATTCTATGTAATGTTTAGAAAAATTCCTCAAAGATAAATTAAACCTTTTTAATAATTCTATCAATAACATTAAAAATATGACATGTTTATTGAAAACCTTAAAAAACTTACTATTAATAGAGACAGTATAATATTTTATAATTGTTACGTTTACGACAGCTTTGCTTTTTACAACCAAAACATAACTGACCCCCAAATTACATTTGATTNAAAATATACGTATTTTGGAAATGTTGAGTCGGATTAGTCTAGAATCGATTAATTTTATGGAAGAAAATCTTTCAAACAGCCGTAGTCCGTAAACTTGATACGTGTCGGGTTGTGATTGGAAGGATTCGTAAGAAATCGGATTCCTAAAGAATGGAACGTATCTCTATCTTATAGGGGGGTCGACTGTACAATTTTTGAAGATACCTATTTACTAGTCAATCATGACTTTAGCATGATATTAAACATAACAAATTCCAATTATCTTACTCATAAGCATTTAATAAGGGTCATTTAAGAATATATTTGTAAGAAATAAAATGCAATGTAAGTTTTTACAGTTCTATTCCTAAGAACTAAATTGATTTTTCTTTAGTATGCAGTAGACATCAATGCAAATGTTGTAATAAAATTTTTTTGTATTGTATTATTATTACTGTATAAAAAAACAATACAAAAAAAATAAGTGAACAAGATAATACACTTACTGTAATGAACAATCAAGAATAAATTTTCAGGATTTTACTGAAACTGTGATAAAAATTGCTAACCAGCATAACTGCAGTAGATACAGATATAATGCCAATGAAACATGAAAACAGATGCTGGGAATGGAGTTGGTCCCTACCTCCCACATTTATTAATGTGACTTTCATATTTTTTCACAAATTCATTTCTAATAAATCTGTAATACCAGACTTATTTAATTCAGATATCGTGATGGACACTAAAGATGCATTGTTTATTGTATTTGATATTTGGATATAAATAAACATTTTAAAACATTTTTCCTTATATGTTTTATATTGAATATTTTATTTAAATAACAACATTTAATTCCATTAGTAATTCATTACATCTTTCTATAAAACTTCTTTTTTCTTTATGCTTTTATACATTATTTTCTTTTAATTTTTAAAATAAAGAATTGAAAACTTATTCATATAATTATAGAAAATACTGTAAACTTAATCTATAATAGGCATCAGAAAGAGATAAATCACAGTCCACCAGCAGACCAAAAGAAAATTTTGGGGTAAGATTTTCTCTCGTGATGTCCTTTTTTTTATTCACCAGCTCTTCAGAATCTGTATCAATGTACATGATCTAACATTAAAATAATATTTTATATTGTTTAAATGTGTTTTATTTTAATAATTACAGATAATAAATAATTATCTGTAATTACAGTAGAGCGTCGTTTATCCGAAAGAATTCCAGTTGGCAAAATTAAATTTTTGCTAGTGCTATGGCGCTGCAATCTTTGGCTATATCTTGGGCTACTCCAATATTTTTTTTGTTGGTGCGTGTGTTTTAGCTAGCAGCACTGGCACTTTTGTGTGGTGTTTTTCTGAGGACTGTGTGTCATGCTGAATCAAACGTTTTTGATACTAGATCAACTTCTAAAGTATATTTTTTTTTTGGTTTTTATATTTTTCAATATATTTATTTTGTTTGTACAAAATAAATAAATAATTTTTAACGATACAATAGCCACGATTATTATTTTAAAAAGTTTACGTTAGGCTTAACATCGATGAAAATTCAACGCGAAGTGACACGCAACGGAAAAAAATTTCAACATGGGATAGGTTAATATATTTTTTCGTACAAAATGGGTTATCCAAAAAATAAGTTATCCGAACAACCCCATTCCCCAATTGATTCGGATAAACGACGCTCTACTGTATTATTATCAAGGCTGATATTTTTTTAGTAATTAGATGACTGTGTGTGTTGGAATGTATTATAGGTAGTCCTTACCTTATAAAAATCTACCCATCATTGACCTAACCAGTTCTTTGAAATGAATTATAAGCTGTCACAAAACCCACATTTCTGTAGTAGTTATAAAGTGTGTTTTCCATTCTGAAACCCAGTTTCAAGTCAAAGCAGGATTATTAAAAATTTTTAGGAGTAATCTAATACAAATAATCCCACTTCTAACCATTCAGCAAAAACCATATTGGGCACGAACAAAAGACTATCCTCTGGATTGGGAAAAGAAAAGTTGTTGCAAAGAAAATGTCCTATTTCACCCAAGTCAAGTGTCATAAACTGAGTT